TGACCAGCCCTGCAGGGCCAGCAGTGGGGCCCCGGGGGCCGGCGCGTGTCCCCAGGACCCAGCCCCTGAACCCTCCGGAGGAGTCCGACTCACAGAGCGGAAGGCAGAGGCTCAGGAGCCTCAGAAAAGGCAGCTGGGCGGTGCAGCCACGAAAATGCCCACGAAAGGCTTTCTTCACGCAACCTGCTTCCTGACTTTTCCTGGCTTTGGGGAGAGTCCTCCTAGGCCCATAAGCTCAGGGCTGGAGAGTCGGGCGGGTCCCCAGAGTGTCCCAGGGTCACAGCATCAGCACCGCCTTCCCCTGGGAGCCGGCGAGGTGCTGGGTCTCAGGCCCCACCCCGACACCTGAAAGACATCTGCATTTTCACAAGGCCCCGGGAGGCTCCGGGCACCTGGCTGCCTGAGAAGCTCTCCTCTGGCGTGAATCGAGGCCAACATCCTCGGTTCACACCGAGCGGCTGACACCCAGAGGGGAGGAGGCTGGCCCCAAGTCACGGGGCTGGTTCCCGTGTCGACTCCGCCGCCTGCCAATCGCTTTGACTCAGTCGCCTAAAAATTCACCAGATCACAGTCTCCTCTCCTGTGATCAAGGGATCATATAACCACCCTGCTGACGCAGGAATCAGAGCAGACAACAGGCAGACGTGTCAGCACGCGGTGTGCTCCCTGCGTGGGGGCCCTGCGAGGGCCTCGGCCCACCCCGCCCACGCCGCACACACGGCGTCTAGACTGGGCACAGCAGTGTGGGATCCCACGCAGCTGCCTGCCGATCACCCTGCCCCGCCATCGGACCTTGCGCCACTGCTGAACCGGTCCCGTGGTTTGAGCCTTTGTGAATGGATGTGTGGCAGCACCCAGCTCCCGGGGTTAGTGTGAGGGCTCAGACTTCACATTGCGGTTCACAGTGAGGGCCGGAGATGGGGTGATGCTTCCACAGGTGCAGAGGAGGGGGGCTCGGGTGGGGAGGCCCGTCCGGCAGGGGGAGCCACCTGGGCTCTGCCCACTACCTATTGATTGCCAGCCGAAGTCTGCTCCGCTGGCTCCCCCAGGACCCCAACCCTGCTGGGTTTTCTTTCTCGGCTGAGGAAGTGGTTCAGTCGGAACCGCTGAGCGGCCAGGGTGCTTGTCCGGGAGGAGCAGACCAGAGCGGAGGGGCAGCTGTCACACAAGCGGGATCAGACCTGCTCTGGATGGCTCTCGGGACAGAAATAGGAAGTTCCAGGAAGTCCTCTCTAATCATCAGGATCGCGCAGAGCCCAGCTGCTGGGTGGGGCTCCCAGCTCAGGGCAGCTGAGCGGCTACCTAGCCGTGCGCTGCAGGCTGCCGGATGGAGCTGGGGCTGGACTTGTCCCCAGGCCTTCAAGCCGGGCTGAGCCCAAGCCTCAGAGTCACCCGAGGGGCTTTGCTAATAGAGTCCCAGGCCCCGCCCAGGCCGACTGACTCAGAGTCTCCAGGGGTGGGGCCCGCAGTCCACGGTTAAAGCTCCCCAAGTGATTCTCATGGGGGGGGGGGCTGGAGGCGGAACCAGGGAGGCAGGGCAACATCCAGCAGTTTATCCCTGAGGGTTCTTCCCTGCTGGGCTCGCTGCCACCCCCTCACCTGATCCAGGTGTGGGTCCCTCCCGGGGAAGTTCTGGGCCCTGTTCAGGGATGAATGACTCCCACACCTAACAGCAGCGAACCCCCACTCTCCCTCCTCCCCACCTCGCCCCTCCTTTGGCTCCTGTAGTCTCTGTGCTCAGCCCTCAGGTGACCCCAACAGGTTGCCATGGCTCTGGAGGGAGGGTCGCTCCCTGAAAGTGGCCTGGGCCAGGGTCCCACCGCACCCTCCTCCGAGTGCAAAGAGGAGCCAGGCCCGCCCCCGGCACCGGGCGCCTAGCGCAGCGATGGCAGAACCGAGGGAAGAGATGCCTGAGTGGGCGCCGAGATCCCGGCCCCTCCTTTGGTCAGCGCTGCGGCGGGGAAGGCGGCAGGCCCTCTGGCGGAAAGTCCGAGGGAGACGCTGTCACCTGGGGCTCCAGGTGAGCACCGCCCGCAGGGCCCCGGGGAGGAGGGCGCGTGCCTCCTGCCCTGCCCCACAGCTCCACCTGCCGGCCGACCCTCCTCCCTGCAAGGTGCCGCCACCCCAGGCGCCCGGCCGCTCCCCCAGCCCTCCCTGCCCCTGCCCCACGACACCGCCCTCGGGGTGCTTCCTAGCCAGGGCCCCCGGCTTACCCGGGTTCCATCCAAGGAGGTGCGTCCAGCCCCCTCCCTACTGTGGGGCTCTCTGGAAGAGAGCGGCAGGCGGGTGGCCTCGTGCAGGCGCGCAGAGACCTGCCCCAGCAGCCAGCAGGGGGCAGACTGTCCCCAATTTTGGGCCCCAAACTCCCATTCTGGCCTCTCCGGGGGGGCCCTTCCCAGAGCGGAAAGCCCATCCAGGTGTGTGTAGAACCCTTCATCCATTTCTCCTCCCCCCTGCGCACACCTTCCCAGAGACCTCTGGGTTGGCCACAGCTTGGGCTGGACCTAGAGACCTCGGCCCTCCTGGAGCTCGGCCCTGGACCAGATGCGTGTCTGCGGCAGCTCTGCTCCCCGTCCCCTTGCACTGGCCTCTGGTTCTGCCCTATGAGTGGTCCCGCACACGCTCAGGTCACATTCCCAGAGTCAGGGAGGGCTCCGGCAAGGCCGCGGTCGGACCGGACCTGGTCTTCCGGGCATGTTGCACAAGAGGCTTATTACTGTTGCAGCATCTGCTTATTGTTCGATTGATTCCCAGTGAGGACAGAGAAGCCAGCCCCCAAACATCAGGCAGGACCCCCAACAGGAAGGAACTCATTTACAAAGAACAGCCTCCAGGGGCTTGTCTGAGGGCTGCCATGGACTGGATGCTGAAATCCTAACCTCCAGGCGATGGTGTTTCAAGGTGGGGTCTTCGGGAGGTAACTATGGGAATGGTGTCCCCGTAAGAGAGGCTCCAGAGAGCCCCGTGTGCCTTCCTCCTGCGCGGTCACAGCGAGGACACGGAGAGCAGGCCCTCAGCGGACCCGAATCTGCCTGCACCTTGACCTTGGACTCCAGCCTCCAGAGCTGCAAGGACGCGTTTCTGAGGGTCCTGGGCTGCGGCGTCCAGGGCGTGGTTGGGGCAGGCCGCATGGAGGGGGCCCAGACAGCACTGGGGCTGGGGCTGGGGCTGGGGCTGGGCAGGCGCATGGAGGGGACCCGGACAGCACTGGGGCTGGGGCTGGGGCTGGGCAGGCGCATGGAGGGGGGCCCGGACGGCGCTGGGGCTGGGCAGGCCTCATGGAGGGGGGCCCGGACGGCGCTGGGGCTGGGCAGGCCGCATGGAGGGGGGCCCGGACGGCGCTGGGGCTGGGCAGGCCGCATGGAGGGGGGCCCGGACGGCGCTGGGGCTGGGCAGGCCGCATGGAGGGGGCCCGGACGGCGCTGGGGCTGGGCGGCCGCATGGAGGGGCCCGACGGCGCTGGGGCGGGGCAGGCCGCATGGAGGGGGCCCCGTACGCACCTGGGGCGAGGCTGGGGGCGCAGGGGGGGGGGGCCCGGACGGCATGGGCTGAGGCGGGGCTGGGCTGGCCATGGAGGGGGGCCGGACAGAACTGTGGCTGGGCAGGCCGCATGGGGGGGCCCGGACGGCGCTGGGGCTGGAAGGCCGCATGGAGGGGGGCCCTGACGGCGCTGGGGTGGCAGGCCTGCATGGAGGGGGCTCCCGGACGGCGATGGGGCGAGGCAGGCCGAATGGAGGGGGGCCCGGACGGCGCTGGGGCTGGGCAGGCCGCATGGAGGGGGGCCCGGAAGGCGCTGGGGCTGGGCAGGCCGCATGGAGGGGGGCCCGGACGGCACTGGGGCTGGGCATGCCGCATGGAGGGGGGGCCCGTCGACGGCTGGGGCTGGGCAGGCCGCATGGAGGGGGGCCCGGACAGCACTGGGGCTGGTGCGGCGCTGGGCTGGGGCTGGGGCTGGGGCTGGGCTGGGCAGGCCTCATGGAGGTTGGGCCCATACGCACTGGGGCTGGGGCTGGGGCTGGGCAGGCGATGGGGGGGCAGGCCGCATGGAGGGGGGCCCAGACAGCACTGGGGCTGGGGCTGGGGCTGGGCAGGCGCATGGAGGGGGGCCCGGACAGCACTGGGGCTGGGCAGGCGCATGGAGAGGGGCCCGGACAGCACTGGGGCTGGGGCTGGGGCTGGGGCTGGGGCTGGGGCTGGGCAGGCCTCATGGAGGGGGGCCCAGACAGCACTGGGGCTGGGCTTGGGCTGGGCAGGCCCTGGAGGGGGGCCCGGACAGCACTGGGGCTGGGCAGCGCATGGAGGGGGGCCCGGACAGCACTGGGGCTGGGCATAGCCGCATGGAGGGGGGCCCTGACAGCACTGGGGCTGGGCAGGCCGCATGGAGGGGGGCCCGGACAGCACTGGGGCTGGGCAGGCGCATGGAGGGGGGCCCGGACGGCACTGGGGCTGGGCAGGCCGCATGGAGGGGGGCCCTGACAGCACTGGGGCTGGGCAGGCCGCATGGAGGGGGGCCTGGACAGCACTGGGGCTGGGCAGGCGCATGGAGGGGGGCCCAGACAGCACTGGGGCTGGGGCTGGGGCTGGGCAGGCCGCATGGAGGGGGGCCCAGACAGCACTGGGGCTGGGGCTGGGGCTGGGCAGGCCGCATGGAGGGGGGCCCAGACGGCGCTGGGGCTGGGCAGGCGCATGGAGGGGGCCCGGCCTGCCACCCTGCCCGGCAGAGCCCTCTCTGGATTCCACGGGGAAGTTCCTGTGGCCATGATTCCCTCACCTGGGGCTTTCCATCCGGGGAGGAGTTCTGAGCAGTTTTGGGGCCTTGCTGAGCCCCTCAAATCCCGAAGTCCACAGTGCCACGCCCAGATGTGGGGTTCGGTTAGAACCGCTTCCGGTGGCCGAGCGGAGCAAACGAGTTCACCCCCAGAGTTCATTCCTGCTACGGCGAGCGAGGCTCCCGTCGGCTCCCTCCCAGCCCCCCCAAAGGCAGGCGGGGACCAGAGCTCTGTCATAACAGCTTTTATTGACCAGAGGAGGGATCAGCTTGCCTCCCAGGCCGCAGCTCCATCTCAGCCTCTTCCCAACCCTGGGGGGGGCGAGGCCTCTCCCCTCGCCTGCTCCTGACCTGGGGCCTGGAAGGAACGGGGCGATGTGGCCAGCGAGGGTCCTCAGGAAGGGGGGTGGCAGGGGCGAGCCTTGCGTGGGCAGGAAGGTCCTGAGGTCCGGGTGCAGAGGGGAGGGGTGCCCAGGACTGAGGCTGTGTGTCCTCACATCTGGGGGTCAAGCAGGCGGCAGGGCACGGGCCCGGGTGTGTGGGGACAGGGGAGCTGCTGGTGCTGCAGCCCAGGACCGCGGGTTCAGAGCAGAGCCACCCCACCTCAGCTTCGGGCCTCTGACAAACAGGAGTGTGTGTTTGGGTGCTTCATCGGGACCTCCATCAAACAGGGAACTAGGTGCTGGGGAGGTCAGACCGCATCCTGGGGTTCTCAGACCTGGGTGTTCTCCCACCCTGGCAGGAAGGTCATGTTCCCCACAGCCTCAAGGTCACGGCCTAGACACGCAGGTGTCTCCTGCAGCCCACGACCCGGCCTCGTGCCTCTCTGTCCCCCTGCCCCCTCCAGTGACTCCCGAGCTGGGGGAACTCCCAGGCCTGTTCTGAGGGACACCAAGAAGCCCACCCTCCTTCCCACAGAGGTGAAACTCTGGGGCTGATGGACCACAGCCTCCCCTGTGGGCTCTGACATGTACACTCAGGTCTTCGCCGGATGATGGTGGACGCTCAGCCAAGGAGGCTAACAGAGGCCTGCAGGGCGGGTGTGGGGGGACCAAAATCAGTGGGGTTCTTGGGAAGACCCCAGGCAGGGGAGCCCCTGGGAGGGGGGCCTTCAGACAGACCCCAAACCATAAGGGGCCAGACATCAAGTTCTGGTCACTGGTGACGTGTGGCAGGGCTGAGAAGAGGGGCCGCAGGGGCCAAGGCTGGGGGAGGGGAGGCGGATACAGGGCGGGCGGGCGGGGCAGCGGCAGCCTCACTCAGAGTGGACCAAAGCCCCTGCTCCCTGTCCGAAGCCGAAGCCCTTGGGCCCGAAGTTCTTAGCGTAGCATCCTGCAGAGAGAAGAGACAGGTCAGGACCCTCGGCTCCCGGGCCACCCCTCCCAGGCCTGTCTGCCCTGACAGCCTGGACCAGGGTCAGGAGCCCACCCCACCTGCCCAGCCCCTCCTGCCATGGGACTCCAGCCAGGTCACCGTCCCCCGCCCCCTCTGGGCTATCTCCTCCGTGGCGAAGGGTCTACCAGATGCCCGGAACGCCCCAAGGACGGGAATCATGTGCATGGAGCCGGCATTGCTCAGCCCACCCCCTTGGGCACCTCTTGCTGGGGCTGCTGTGACACCCACCTTTGCAGTAGATCTCGCCCTCTTTGTCGGCCAGGGTGGTGGACTCCAGGCCTTTGCCACACTTGGCACATCGGAAGCAGGACTTATGCCAGGACTGTGTGAGGGGGACAATCGAGGCTGCCACCAGGAACTCGGGGGTCCCGCCCTCAGCCCCGTTCCCCGGACATAACGACACGCAAGTCTGCTCAGCCCAGGACCTCACACCCCTCCAGTGGCCGGGGGGTCAGCGGCCCCAGCTGAACCACAGGGACAGGCCAGGGGGGGGTCACCGCCCAGGTGGCTGTCCCCCACAGGTGCAGCCGGTCCAGCCTTCTCCAGACCCGTGGGGTCAGCGGTGTGGGCACAGGCTTGCCAGGCCCTGCTCCTCAGCGGCCACGTGGCCCCAGCCACTCTGCCTCCTGGAGAAGGACGGGTGTGAGCACCAGCACACCGTGGCTTTCCTCACAGGACTGTCCTGAGGCCGCCCCGCCTCTGACCTTTGGAACTGGGGGCTCGGTTGTCCCAAGGCCGTCACCTATTGGAGAGGGGGCGGTGGTCCCCCCTGCCCCCCCGGGCAGCTCTGAGGACCACAAGGCTTTCACGGTGGAACGTGGCCAGCCCGGAGGAGCCCTGCGTCAGGGGACGGCTGTCACTTTGGAAGGAGCACGGGCCTGTGACGCCCTGAACTCGGCAGGAAAAGGCCCCCATGTGGCTGCTCCAGGGGCCACAGGAGGCCCTGGTGGGTCTAAGGGAGCCGGTGGCCGCCCGGCTGGGAGGGAGCAGCTGGGGTTGGCTCCCAGAGGCCAGGGCCAGAGGCAACAGCTGCGCAAACTCAGAGGCTGGTTGAAGACAGCCCCGCAGAGGCGGCTGCATGGGCCCCAGAACAGGCCTTTTAAGGGCAACAGCCTCCCTCAGCGCAGCCCCATCCTGGGCTGCAGGGGCAGGCACAGCGGACCTCGTGGATGTCCTGGCCGCAGACCTCCGCAGCCTCCTCCTCCCGAGACCCAGCCCACCGACAGCCGCCGCCGCCTACCTTGCCAGCACCGATCACCTTCTCCGCCGCGTAGACCGCCTGGCCGCAGCGGGGGCAGCGCTCGGAGACTCCCATCTTCTGGGCGAACTTGGACGTGTTGGGGTTGGTGGTGGGCCTGTGGCTGGGGGCCCTGCCCGAGGAAGCACGTGTGACTCACACTGAAAACGGGGGGCTGACCGGCGCGGACGCGGCCCCGCCCTCAGCTCCCGGGTGGTCTCCCATCACCAGGCTTCCCCGATGTCACGATGTCACGTTCCTGGAACCACCCTGCTGCCCGCAATCCAGTTAAAGCCGGTTCACACCTCGTTACAAGAACCCCCCTCCTCTCCTGCTTCCTGCAGTCTGTCTACTATCAGATTCTCCCAGGACAGATCTGCTGACAGATCCTTTTCCCGGGGCCGTGACCTTGGCCAGCCTGTGGGAACTCATTGGCCGCTCAGCTCCGCCAAGCCCCTGAGTCAAGGAGCCGGCCAGGGTGGCTGCCCACAGCACTGTTTACAGGAGGTCAGAGGTCAGTGGGTGCCGGGGACCTAGTGACACCCTGTAGCCTTTCCCAGGGGTGACGGCAGGGGTGGCAGAGGCAGAGGCTGGGGACCCTGACAAGGCACTGACATTGGGCTGTTGTCTTATCTGTGGAAGGAGACATGGACCGAGTCATCCCTGGGGCCTCTCAGCTCGGACCCGTCACCCAGGGAGGCGCCCGGCTCCTCCAGGGGCCCCATGATACCCTTGGAACTGGTTTTTCTGAGCCGTGGATGCTTAACCAGCGTGGCTGAGGGGGCTGGGGGCGGGGGACGCCGGTACTCACTCCTCATGCTGGATGCCCAGCGACTGCCCCTTGTCGGTGCTGAGCGTGCCGGCGCCCTGGCCGTACCCGTAGCCCTTGGGCCCGTACTTCTTGCCGTAGCAGGACCTGCAGTAGATCTCTTCCCCGTGCACGGCCACGGTCGTGCTGTCCAGGTTCTTCTTGCAGACCACTGCGGGGCGTGAGCACGTGAGCGGGCGCAGGGGCGCACGGCAGCTCCCCGAGCGCGCGCCGCACCTGACACCCTGGCCTTTGAGAAGCAGCCTGGACATGCTGGTCAGGATGGCCCTGAGCTGGGTGCTGACAGGCAGGGTCCGCTATCCAACCCCAGGATGCCAGCCTAGCCACCCCTCCCGGAGCCTGGGCGCCCCCATGGCCTCTGCCGCCTCGGGCCCCCCGGCTGCAGGGCACCACGGGGCGCGTAGGAGGCAGCAGCCTGGGCTGACCCCCGTCACAGGACGCCTGGTGAGGCCTTACTCTGCCCGAGGGAGAGACCACGTGCTCCCACGAGAGGAGAAGAAAGGAAGGAAGGAAGGGAAGGGATTTCCTGCTCTGGCCTTGGGTCCAGAAGGGACGATCTGTGTCCTTGTGGGGGCAGGGAGGCCAGGGGGAAGTTTAGGGTTTACGAAGCACCCGGCGTGGCAGCTTGGAGAGGGGACGCAGGACACACTGGCCGCGTTTGAGTTTCCAGTCTCAGGATCCCTGTCGAGAGGAACCCAGGGAGATGGAGGAAGGCCCGACTCCCGGGCTGGGAGACCGGAGCCGGAGGCGCTGTGGATCCGGAGGGGAGCTGGGCCCGCCTTGCAGAGCCAGTCAGAACCTGGGGTCAGGCGGGGTCAAATCCCAGCTCTCCCCTTTGCAGCCGTGGGCCTCGGGCAAGCTACTATTGGCTGCATTTCAAATGACCCCGAGCCTAGAAAGGCAACTTATCTCCGGCATGAAGTAAGTGAGGTCTCACGCACAGGAAGTGCTTAATGAGCACGTGCACAATACACGTTGACTCCTCTCCTCCGCCGAGGACACAGGAGGAGGGACTGGCCCAGGCCTCCAGGGACTCAACGTCACTATTTCTTCAGCTCGTGTCCCACCCTGGTAATTTGGTACCACGATACTCCTGCAATGTCAGGATCCAGTGTGGCCCACGGACTGTCCCCTCACACCTGTCCTGAGGATGGAAGGCGCTGGGCAAACCTGCCTGTCCCCCCCTCCTCGCCCCTCCCTCCAGGAGGCTCTCCATCCAGCTCCTTGCGACTGGGCCCCTCTTGCCTTTAAAGGACCAGTTCCACTCACGCTGAGCCCCAGGATAGGGACTTCGCCTAAATAAGGCCCCTCTTGTCCTGCCCTGCGATCCCCTCCTCATTCCAGCACTCGGGCGGCCCAAATACGGAGCTCCCCACGGCCTCCTGGGGCTTGGCTCCTGGACCGAGGGAGAGAGCGGGCCAGGGCCTCCAGCATTCCCTTGTAGGGTGGGAAGTCGGAAGCTGCTTCCCGTAAGGCCCAGGGTGAACTGGGAATTCCAACAGCCGGGCAGGCAGAGAGTGGAGGCAGAGGTCTCTTCTGACCGGTCTCTCCAGCCGGAGCCCCGGAGCTCAGCCGGAGGAGACCCAGGGCCTACACGGGGGTCCCACCAGCTCCCTGCTGCGTGGACTGGGTCCCGACTTCCAAAGCCATGTCATAACCCGGGGCAGCCTCTGCTGCGCCTGTCCTCCAGGAGCCCTGCCCACACGGTCCACCTTCCACACCCGGCCCTGGCTCTGCCCCCACCTCCTCCAGGTGGTGCGGTCTGCCCTTGGCCGACTCCACCCGAGACGAGCTAAGGGGGCTTTTGCATGAAGGCCGAGGTTAATTTCTACCAAATCATGTTAGGCCAATAGGGAGAGTGAGGGCTGGTGGCCTGGGCTGGCTATTTAGCATGTGCTGTCCTCCCAGTGTGCCATGCTGGGCAAGGCCTGTGACGCTGTCTGGAAATGCAGGAGAGGCGGCCAGGTGAGGGTCAGCCCTCCCCGCACTCCGAGACGGAGGGCAAACGGGAGCCAGTCACAGCTCAAGAGATGGGCACTAGCCTCAGCCTGGGGCAGGTCCCCAACGGAGGGGCTGAGCACTCCCGCCGGCTAACAGAACAGCTGTCCCTACTGTGACCACAGGAGTGCAGGGCAGGCCCTCTCCGTCCCTGCTCCCCGGTCAAAGGCCAGGCTCAGGCGAGGGGAGAGGGCTGCTCCCCGAATTCCTCTGTTGCTTCATCCTGCCTTCCTGTCTGTCCCAGACCCAGAGAGGGAATGCAGTGCCCAGCCGAGCAGACTCCAGAGTCCAGGACCAGCTCGGTGGTCAGGGGGACTCTGGGGGCTCAGGCCAGGCCCAAACTCGCGGGCCTCCTCTCCCCTAGAAGGGCACGTCCTCTGCCTCTGCGGTTTACTCCGAATTCCTGAACTCAAGCTGGACATTCTCCACTGCTCTCCTTCCATTTCAAACAGGTGGCCGAGTGCCCAGTGCTGTTCTGGGCAGCAGGAGGCACCTCAGCCTGCTGGCCCCGCCCGGAGCTCTGATCCCGGGGAGACCGGGGGACGGGGGGCTGTTCCCCGCCGCTTGGCTTCACAACACCCTCCAGCCTGCTCGGCCGCCTGCTTCCTACAACTGTCTCTAATCCTCCTCACCCCCTCACACCCTGGCCCGCACCCACCCCCCGACAGGGCTGCAGGCGAGGGCGGGGGGAGGAGGGTGTCCTCTCGGCCACAGCTGGCCTCTCCTGGTCAGTGATTAAGTAACATCTGAGCGCAGGAGGCCCTAAAGACCCCGGCATCCTGGCCAGTGCCAAGCCCTCCGCTTCCCCACGAAAAATACGCGGCTTGACATTCCTCCGCTGTGAGCTGCTGCTAACAAGAGGCTGCTGTTGGCGGCTCCTCCCCCGCTGGAGGCCAGGGGGGCACCAGGCTCATTCACTCCTCATTCATCAGACTAGGCCTGTGGGCGGCGGGCGGCGGCTCCCGCCAGCTGGGCAGGGTGCGGCCGGGCCTGTGTTCCTGGCTTCTGCTCTCCCCTGGGCAGAGGTAGAGTCCTGGAGAGCAGGTGGTCCACAGCCCAGCTGGTTCCTACTCTGGGTCACGGGTCTGGAACGGAGATGCCGCCAACTTTCCTAAAGTGGCTTCAGGTGGCGCAGGATGGCGGGCCGGTTCCTGGCTCCCCAGCCCCGTGTGGGGTCTCCATGGTGACCCCAGCTCGCGGTGTCTGTCACACTGAGCACACTGCCTCTGACAGCGTCACTGCCGAAACAGCTCTCGTTCTAGTCCCTGCACCGGCTCGGCACCACCTCCCGCGAAACAGCGGGAACACACAGCCCGAGAGAAGCGGAGTGACGTGCCCCTCGGCACACGGACGGCACTAAGCCTGCACAAACCCTGGTAATGGGACGGGTTCTGAGACCTGGGGCTCCGCTGGTCACTCCAGCGTCCCTTCGGCCCGCCCCCGAGGGCCACGCGGGGGCTGAAGCTGCCGCTTCCTCGAACCCAGATCCTCTGCTCCAATCACAGGGACCCTGGGGAGGCTTCCCCAAGTCGTCGCCTGCGGGGTGCTCTGAAAACACCCCTGGCTCAGGCCCCAGCCAGCAGAGAGCGAGGCGTCAGGGCCCTGGGAGGCCTGAGGTCTCGGGGCGTCTGGGGCCTGCGCATCCAGGCCGCGTCGCAGTGAGTCTTGCTCTGGGCTGTTGGGGGCGGATGTCAAGGAGCTTGGGGGGCAGGAAGGGAAGTGACAGAGGAGTGGCAGCCAGCTGTTCCCCGACTCAGCTCCCCGCTAGGTTGCAGTTTGGCTGCCCTTCGAACGAGGGACAGGGGGCCCACCGGCCACTGCATCGGGGCTGAGTGTCTTCCCGAGAATGGGACTGAGGCAGAGAGAAAGCCAGTGGAAAGTTTCCCTAACCCTGGCTCTGGGCCCCGGGCCCCAGCCCCCAGCTCGGCGGTGCCCCTTGGAAAGCAGCACCCAGGGAACAAAGAGACCTAAGTGTTTCCCGCCCCAGCTGCAGCTCAGGCCAGACGGCAAGCTGTTCACATCCCACGGGGCCATTCCCTGGGGCGCTGACAGGCCGGCCTGGGGGCGCCCCCTCCCGTCCCCATGGCGACCGCGGGGCCTGTACTCACTGCACAGGAAGCAGGACTTGTGGAAGCTGCTGCCCTCGCACTGAACCTCCTCCGCGAAGTACACGGTCTTCTGGCAGACCCCACACTTCTTGCCGCCTCCCCAGTTGGGCATTCTGAAACTGGGCACAGACACGGGGTTACCCACAGGGTGGCGGGCACCGTGGGGGGAACGTCTCGTCGGGCAAGGGCCCCGGCCACACTGCTGCCCATGAGGGGGGCTTCTCTTTGCCACACCCCTGCTCTCAGCACAGCACCCCACCCCCACCCCAGGGACACCCGCCGTAGCTCTGGGTGCCTGCAGGGCACCTCTCCACTGCCCTCCAGTTCTGGGGGCAGAGGCCCCACCCAGACTGAGGGCACAGTTCCGGGTTGCAGGACAGCCAGGATGCGGGGTCTGCGTTCCTGCCTTCCTAGCTGACAGATGGGGAGGGCTGGGAGGGGTGACTCCCCCTGAGCTTATCTGGGGCGGGTCTTCCTTCTGAGGATGAAAGGAGAGCACGGAGCTGGGATACCCCAGCCCGGCACACGCCCCTGCACACCCCTCCGCTGCCGGCTCACAGGAGGCTCCCGGACGGCCCAGCCCGCCGTCCTGTGGATGCCTGCTCCCTCCCAGCGGCCCCTCTGGAGCAGCCAGAGCTTGGGGAGGACCACGCTCCAGGACCAGAAACCCACGACTTGTGGCTCAGCCCAGCGCACGCGTCTGGGACAGGGGACTTGCCCTTCTCTGGGCTTCAGCTCCCCGGCCACCTGAGAGGCAAGCCGACTGTGTCTGTCCCCAGGCCCTTCGTCCGAGGCAGGTTGATCAGGGAGGGGCTGCCTTGGGTCCCCCAGAGCTGTGTCCCTGCAATGGGGTTCTGGTTTCTCCTGTGTCTACTGAAGGTCTCACCAGAGGCCAGGGCTTGGATTTGCTGCTGAATGACTGGGAATATCTGGTGGTTGTTCACCCAAAGGGCCAGGGTCCCCGGGACTGGAAGCCAGGAGCCCAGGGCCGGCCTCTCCCGACAAGCAGCCAGCCTGTGGCCGTTGTCCACGCCGCCCACTCCAGTTGTCCCACTGGGAACCGCACCCCCATCCTGTCTCAACAGGACAGACTCAAGGGGGCCCGGGGCGTCTTTCCACTGGGCCATTCCTTAAAGACCGGCCACCTGGTGGGGGTCTCCCTCAGGAGCAGACACAGCACAGACTTCTGCTCACCCCAAGTCTCGGAAAGCCGGGCTCAGGTGAAGAGCTCAGTGGGGTCATGTTCCAAGATTGAGACACCATCTCAGAGGGGGGCAGCCTTAAGTGCCCGAAGGGGACCCTCCTCCCGTCCGTCCAGTAAAGCGACAGACCAACGTGTGCCTTTGTCCGGTGGAAAAACCCTCTCTCTCCCAGCCCAACAGCTCAAGTCCCCTGGGGCCGAACAGCGGCTCTGGGCAGAGCTCATGTCCCCACCCACGCGGTGCGGTCCAGGCTTGTCAGGTGTTTGCTGCGTTGGAAGCCTGTGCTCACGTTACCTGAGCCGTGTGGTATCTGGCCAGGTACAGGGGAGCGCTGTCATCCTTCCCAACCTCACGGTCCAGCCCTTCCGGCCCATCCAGTGTCAGGAGGGCAGCCGGGGGAGGGGAGGAGGGCACCCGCCGGTCAGGCGCGGAGCCCATGTCTTGGAGGAGACAAGGGAAGCCAGGAAGACCTCCCCCGAGAGCAGTGGTCACTGGCAGGGGGCAGATGGCTCACATCTCACCAGGGTTTCCTCAGAACCCTGAACACAACCGCCTCTCTGAGGAGTTCACAGGTGTCGCCCCAGCCTCCGTGGCCCCCCCTGCGGTCCCTCCAGCTCAGCTTGCTCTCTCTGCTGTGAGTTTTCTCTGTCGAAGGCCATGTCCCATGGCCCTTGTGGGCTGAGTGACAAAGGCCGGCTCTCTGCGTCTCTCCCTCTCCTGCTGGCCCCCAAACCCCGTGTCCAGCACAACTCTCCCCCTTGGAGCTCAGAAATCCGAAGGTCAGCCGAGGTAGACACTGGGGTCTCTGGTTTCCGTGTTTAAGACTCTCACAGGAAACCCTGTATTATAATAAGTCTCCCAGAGTAATCAACAGATCGCGTGTCTTTGCTTTCATCTGGAATGATGTCAGCCTGGAGTGGTAACCAGCAGTGATCCCGGACTGAGAAGGCGTCAGTGATTTCTCTTTAATTAATTGTCACAAACAAGTTAGCACTGTTTTCTTATTGAAGAATGAAAGGGTGGTCTGCGGCTGACACCTGAGGAAAGCCCTCCCAGACCCGCTGGGCAGGGGGGCTCTGGCTGCCGGGCTGCTGAGCTGCACCCCCTGCAACCCTCCTGGTCGTGGGGGGGCGCCGCCGCAGCCGCTGGGCCCAGGAACGCACTGGAAATGCCCCGGCCAGGAAGGCTCTGTATTTACACACTTTACCATACATGGGAATCCCTCAGCGCTGACGTCAGACGAATTCCTGGGGCGCTGAGTCTACAGCATCACCATAGCGATCACTGACAACTGAAAACCACGGGCAAAGGCTCCTGTCAGACCCAGGACCCTCCCCTCCCCCCACAGCCTGTGTGTGTGTGTGTGTGTGCGTGTGCGTGTGTGTGTGTCCTTCCCTCAAGCAGACTCTTCCAGGCTTGTTCTTTCCTGCAAACACGGCACCAAAATCCAAACACACATCAGATCTGAAGAAAATGTACCCACTGGGATCTGGGACCCACTCTGGCCACGCAGCAGAGTGAAGACCTAGAGGCCGTGAGCTCTAACCCCGACTGCCCCCAGCCATCCTGACAAAGCCACATGGATGGTGTATAAGCCACGGGCGAGCACCTGGCAAAGCCTACGTTTCACAAACGGCAGGTGTTTCTTTCGTGACTTGCTCTGGAAACAGGGAACAGAGCAGCAAAGGAAATGGGAACCTAGTGGGTTTGGAAGGCGTCTGCCTGGGTTTGAGTGGCGGGCCCACAGCGGACCGGCCGCAACCCTCAGACTCAGCTCCCCGAGCCTCAGTTTCTTCCTCTGCAAAATGGGCACATCGATGCCAACCGCAGAGATGATCCAAGATGACACAGGAAGGGCTTAGGCCGGTGCAGATACCTGCTTACTGTTATCTTAAGGGAAGGCCAACTCGAATACTTTTTGTTCGGTTTTGGGGCTCTTTAGGTGGTTGCCAATTTAACGGAGTATTGGCAAATGGTTGACTTGGAAAAAAAAAAATTTCTTTTATTCTCATTAGCACCTCGTGACTCCTTAGTCCGCAGGCAAGCCAGCTTCTCACAGTAAGCGGGGCAAGCGCAAATAGGCAGACCTTGAACTGCCCGTCGGGAAGCCTCCCAGTGAGCCTCCCTACCAGGACGTCCACAGTAAATACAAACGATGCCTTGCCCCTCGCCTGCTCCTCACAGGAACTCCGGCTGGGGACTGTTCGCAGGGCTCCCGAGGGCCGGACCAGGAGGGCAGCTCAGCCCACTGCTACTGCATTCGTCCGCAAATATTTACCCACCGCCAACCCCGTGTCAACACGGCCCTCCCAGGCTGCAGCTCTGGCTGGACTCCTGGCTCCAGAGGCAGACGTTTGCAATTAAACAAAGAAAACACGGGGCCAGGAAGGAAGGGGCTCGGGCAGACCAGAGGCAAAAGGCTGTGGCACCACGTGTCCCATTTTATTAGCAGCCCCGGTGCGGAGCTAATGGGTCTGCCCTTCAGTTTCTCTCCTGCAGCCTCCCCAGACCCTCCGAGAGGCAGTGCTCCCCCCCCCCCCCCACACCACATCCTTGGCCAGATAAACTTCCTCCCCTGACCCGTTTCCTCCCCAGGCAAAGGGTCATTCCCCCGCAGACTGCGAAACCTGCCTCGGGGCTGCTGAGGGCTGGGGGCGATCTCTGGCCAGGCTGGAGAATCAGGAACCACAGCTGAGTGAGGGCTGGGGCAGCTCAGCACCCTCTTCATCCCAAGCCCACCGGGGGCAAATCTCCAAGACAACAAAGAGGCAGCCGGCACCCCCAGCCTCCTGTAGCTTCTGGAAGGGGTGGGGGCAGGGAGAAGACGGGGGTTGACCCAGTGTGTTCCTGGTCTGTGTACTCCATTCCCAACAGGAACTGAGCAAGGAGAAGTCTAAGTTCCTGTCTAAGGTCACTTGTCTAAGGTCACTCGATGCCAAGAAGCAGCCAGTCTGCCTTCTGAACCCTCCCTCACCAGGACTCCAGGCGCCTGTTCCCGACACACTGCGCCACAGCCCAGTGGATGTCCCGGTCACTGTCCCAAGGCATAGCCCTCCGGGCTGGGAAGGGCCCGGTCTGTCCATCCACCCCACCCATCAGGGGGTGGGTGGCTGGAGCCCGGCCTCCAGGGAAGAGCCTGAGCTCACCTGCTGCCCCGGCCCCGACGGGGCCTGAGTACAGGCCAGGACACAGGACTTCAGAAGACGCTCCCGCCCCAGTAGACAAAACATCTGCCGAGCCCGCTGCATGTTGGGTAACGTACTGCAACCTGCCTGAAGCGGGCACAGTGTCAGCCCCTCCCTGCACCTGGGCCTTCGGGCGCTGCGGCCACAGCCATGTGGGGTTCCGGAACCGTCCCCGGTCAGCATCCAGACGTGAGCGGCGGAGGCGGACGCTGCGGCTTCCACCCGGTTCTCAGGAAGAGTGAACACGCGCCCCGGCGCCCTGAGCGCCGCGGGCCCCGACCCGGCCACCGGCCAGCTGTCCCGCCCCACCCGCGGGCATGCTGTCCCGGCGGAAGGGCGAGGCGGGGGGTGGCACGGATGCCCTCATCCCTCTGCCGTACCATGAGCGTCAGGGGCGCGCAAAATCGCCCATTGTTCTGCTGTGGGACCCGCGGGCGGCGGGGAGGCCGGTGCCCGGGTCAGGGCGCTGGGGAGTCCCCGGCGGGGAGGAGCCTCCAGCCTCCCGGAACGAGGAGCGCCGCCCGGCTACCTGCCGCCTCCTCTCCGCTCCGCGCCGGCTGCACTTTCCTCCCAACTTCCCTGGCAGCGGGAAGGCGCCCGAGGCGCTCGGACGCGCGACGCGGGGGCGCAGCGGAGGAGCCGGGGCGCACTTCAGTGGGGTCGGCCTGGCCGGGGCGCGCGGCCCGGGCGCACTCCGCTGACCACCGACCTGGCGCGCTCACCTGGCTCACTCACCTGCAGCGGGCTCGGTGGGCGCAGCGGGAAGCGCTCTGGAGAGGTTGCGGGTGCGCCCGCGCGCGCGCGGTTTTGTTCCGCTCGAGGAAGGCGTGTCCCGGCCCCGCCCACCTGTGGGCTCTGCACACTGCACCACTGCCGGCTGACGTCAGGGCGCCGGCCCGCGGCGCGTCCCCCCCACCCCACCCCACCCTGGCGGCGGGAGGGGAGACCGGCTCTGGCCTGTCCTGCGGACCCACTGTGCCCTCTGGACCTCTCGGGGTTTTCCTGTCGGCCGGATGGCAAGGTGGACATGTGATCTGAGACCCCTGATAAACTTGTGCCCCAAGGGAATGGGAGGGGGGACGTCAGGGTGGTCTCACTTTTGCGTGTCCTGGTGGCAAGGTGTAAGGGACACATGTGAGCGCCAGACTGGGACAGGTCTGAGCTCTGATTCTGCCCCTTCCCGTACTAGCTGAGCTCTTGTCCTAAACACAGTCCCTCTTCCCTTCAGTCAGCATCTGTGAAAGGCGGGTGATCCACAAGGGGGTCGTGGGGGACACACGAGAGACCCTATACGACCGCGGTGGCCCTCCATAGGATGGACACTCAGTAAATGTCCACTCACCTGTTCCAGCAGCACTGTTCTCTGGGGTGTCCCCCACCTTCCCTGCTATCCAAAGGAGAACGCCCTGCCCCAAAACAGCAGTCCTGGAAAGTGGGGGCCTCCACACCAGTGGACAGACACACATCGTCCTTCCTGGGCTCCCTTTAAAACCCCAAGGTGCTGAATTCGCTCTCTTCCAGGAGTAAAGTCAAGCATCCTATAATCCAGAAGATGAAGTATTTATCGAGGTGTTTCTGGCTTCCTGCCAACAGGAACACTGTTTCTCTGACCAGGCCCTTCCTATAAAGGGCTGTCCAAGATGAGGGCATCTGCAAGCACCTAGCCAGTGCATCTTGGGAGATGGAGGAGGAGGGGAAGCCAGGGGAATTCCTGGTCATTTCTGCCCTGAGCAAGCAATAGATAAACAGGTGCATGAATTAAATCCCAGAACTACCATCAGTGCCTGACGCCATGGGCTTGCTGCCCGAAGATGCTGTCATGAGATCATCTCCTCACCCTTCCGTTCTCAGGACCCCGGAGAGGCGGGCTTCAGTCTCGCTCCAGACTTTACAAAAGGGCAAACTCCTGCCTTTTCTTCTTGGGTCTGGGTTTGTCCTCTCGGATCCACGGGACTCAGAGAGGACATGCCCACCTGCTGTGTGAAATGCCCCAGGGAAGATCTAGAAAAGGAGCGTGGTACAACAGTCACACTGGCGTTTCTCCCACAGGGCCCCGGAGCGCCTTGTAATGAGAGAGGCTGTGTACCGTGGTATCCAGACAGGAATTCCTTTGCAGTGACCGGAACAGTGATCGTACAGGCAGACCTCGGAGATACCGCGGCTCTGCTCCAGACCGCCCCGACAAAGCGACTATCGCATCAAGCGAGTCACACGAATGTTTTGGTTTCCCAGTGCGTAGAAAAGTTATGTTTACACTTTACTGTAGTCTCTTGAGTGTGCAATAGCACTATGTCTAAAAAACAATGTGCAGCCCTGGCCGGTTTGGCTCAGCGGCCTACGGTCCGGAGAGACTCGGGTTCGGTTCCCGCTAAGGGCACATGCCTTGGTTGCACTTTGTCCCTGGCCCTGGTTGGGTTGTGTGAGTGGCAGCCACTCGATGGGTCCCTTTCACGTCGATGTTTCTCTCTCTCCCTCCCTCCCCACTCTATCTGAACAAAAAATGGAAAAAATGTCCTCGGGTGAGGATTAAATAAATAAATAAATAAATAAATAAAAACAATGTGCATACCTCAATTTGTAAATACTTTATTGATGCCCGGCTAGTGTGGCTCAGGGGTGGAGCATCAACCTATGCGCCAGGAGGTCCCTGGTTGGATTCCCAGTTGGGGCACATCCAGTTTTTGGCTCAATCCCCAGTAGGAGGCGTGTAGGAGGCAACCAATGAGTGTTTCCCTCATCATCGCTGTTTCTTTCTCTCCCTTCCTTCTTCTCTGAAACCAATAAAAACATAGTTTTAAAAAACTTTATTGCTAAAAAATGCTAACCATCATCTAAGCCTTCAGCGAATCGTAATTTTGCTGGTGGAAGGTCTTGTGTTCAGTCTGCAAAAACGCATCATCTACAAGGTGCAATGAACAAGGCACACCATGTCCATGATGCCATGAAGGCCGCAGGACTGCCCTGGGCAGACAGGACAGATGATCACCCTGCATGTCCACCCAAAACTGTCAGGGCCCCAGTCCCGGGGGCTGTCCAGACAGAGCTGGAGATGGAGGAAATATAACAGGCCCTGCCTTGTCTGCTATTTTTCTAGAACCTTTCACTTTTTGGTCACGCCACCTTCCCTGAACGGCGCTCACCCTCTGGGCTCGGGCTTGGGCAGCCTTTCTGTGTGTAAAGAAGTCTCAGGGATCAGGGAGGACTTTGGGGTTGAGGTGATCAACCAGGCACACAGGTACCAGCCTGATGTTGAAATGACGAAGGCCATCAGCACTTGAGACATCACACAGGCAAAAGCTCCTGGCTGACTGTTGTAATCCATGAAAGCCAACCTCACTTGGACACCAAGTAATTTTGAATATTAGGAGCTTTATGACCTGCGCAGGGACTGCAGCCAACCTACACAGAGGAGAACTGCAGCCCTGAGCTCAGGGGGAAGGTTGCTTATGTAGGTCAGGGGTTACTCAAGAGTTTAGCAGAGCAAGCAAGCTACGTGTACAGAAGTGGATATCAGCAGTTAGCAGCTGTACAAGTTGTTTATTTTATATTTCTTAACATTTATTAGATCCCAGCCTTGAATGTCTCATTGCCCTGTCTGGCATCTCCTGATTAGTTAAGCTCATGGTCAATACCCTTGTGGTCATGGCTGATGTATACCTTCCTCTTCAAGCGTTTTTGCAAAAACAACTCGGGTTCAAGGAACCCAGGAGAGGGTCCTTCTTCTGGTGGATGGAGAATTACTGGGTTACAATACTGACCTCAGTGACACAGCCGTGCCCAGACCGGCCCGCGCAGCCAGCAGCCTCCCCTCGGCACAGATGGCGCAGTCCGGGCTGCACCGCACAGTGGCAAAGCCGGGCGGGCTGGCCTCTGGACCCGTGAGGGGTGTGCGCGTCTCTGAGGCTCTCTCCAGCTTGGGGTCTTCCTGGATCTTTCTGGGTTGGCTCTGAGCTCTGAGGCTGTGATGAGGCAAATCAAAGGGGGAGCTGTGGAATGGGCCCAGCATTTTCGACCCGGACCCTCGGTCTCTGTATTCAGGGTTCTCAGGGGAAGTGAGCCTGACAGCCAGGCCAACGCGGAGGCAGGGAAGTCTGGGTACGCGCGTGTCCAGACGATAAAACACTGGGAGGCAGGAGAAGGAGGACTCCATCTGCAAAGGAACCAGGGGGACTCCAGGGACCAGGACTGGGTACACTGTGAAGGCCAAGACCAGTTCAGGGAGCTTACAGGTAACTCGGGAACTCCCTCAGGGGGACTCAGGACCAGTTCCTCCAGGACTGTGAAACCCGCTGGATACCTTTTTAAATGACCTCTTCCTCTTCTCTCCCCTGGGCCTGAGCTAGGAGCTACTTCCTCTCCCCCTGCAGCCTCCTGGCTCCTTCTGCTTCTGGAGACAGACCTCCATGTGGGCTGCGGCTCCCACCTGGCCCGCCTCCCTCACAGTGTGGGCAGGGACACTGGCCACAGGAAGGGAAAGGGAAAGGGCCTAGCATCCTCCCCCATCCTGAGCCCCACAAGCCTGAGGCCTGGGCGCAAGTGTGGCCACAGGAGGGCGGCTGAAGGCTCAGGAGGGCCCCTGATAGACAGGTCCAGTCCGCCCACTTGTCCTGGTCCTGGTCTGCTCCCTCCTGCTCGTCCAGGACACTCCACCTTCTCTGCTCCCACCTGCCCTGTGGCCATCGGGCCAGACAGCAGAGGTTTAGGGCCGTGAGGTAGTTCGGAGATACTGACTTTTAGGCAAGACCTTGGCCACCTCAGTAGGGTCGATCATAGGAAATTAGACTCCAAGGTAGAAGAAAGGATTGGTAACTTTCAGAGCCTGAAGTCCAAAGGCAAGCTGGAGACAGCCCACTTGCTGGGAGGGTCTCAGAGGGCAGGGACGTAGCCCGCTGTCCTTGGCAGCTCACAAAGTGCCTCCCACAGAACAGGTGTTGAGTGACTAGTCGGTCTATGGATTCATTCACCTCCTAGTTTGCAAAGAAGCAGGAGCGGGGCTGCCACCTGCTGGTGACGCTGTGAATGATGCTTCTCCACAGCCTCAGCCTCCAGCCATAA